TATAATGACTCAGATTCCACGGCACTGAAACGTCTGTCCACAGCCTCAAGAAGGGTGGCCTTCATGGTCTTTACCCCCTCGTTGGCGGGGTCTTCTCGACGCAGAGCGCGTTTAAGAACACAGACAATGGGAATGACATCAGATGCACATGCAGAGCTCACCTCCATAGTCAGCTCCTCAAAAGGAGCTAGCGCCATTACGGTCTTTTTCAAGTAGCCCCCACTGGTTTGCAGTTAATGTAGCTGGCAGGTCGTACTCCGCAGCATATGCACACAAGACCCGTTTTTGTGCTAGAAGGCTCTGGATCATGTAATACGTACTGTTCCACCTTGTATGTACATCTTGCTGAAGACGCTTGGTCAGCATATTCAGTTCCACCTGAATGTCCTCTAAGCGTGAATATGCAAGTGGCGAGTGCTTGAAGTGACCCACGATTTTTCTGCCGACAGACACAGCATCACTTACACTGCGCTGCATTAGCAGTCCCTCGTTTGCAATAAGTTGCAAGCTATGTGCAAAGCACCCCAAACTGGCAACTCCAAGACGGTCCATTGCTTTGACCACGTTACTGGCATTATCTCGTAAAATGACATGAACCTTACTCTTCTCAATGTTCCATGCTTTTAACATTTCCTCTGTTGCTGTAGCGATGGCCTCTCCAGTGTGTGAGCCACGGAAGCTCTTAGCATTGTAGAAAGAAATTCTTGATAAAATGATATAGTGCTATGTTATGTATTCGCAAAACTGTTCAAATAATTGTTTAATCTGTTTGACCTTTGTAAAGATTTGACCTGTGGACATGAAATGCTGTGAGTAGGTGCAGAGAGACTCAGAACAACAGGAAGTCGTGCAGATACAGACTGAGATGACTAAACTGTCTGATTTCACTTGTCTTTAAGAGTGCAGGAGACTTGGAGCTGACAATAACAGAACCTGTGTAAGGCTGTAAGAAATAGACAGGAAACCACATACAGGAACTAGACCAGGGTCGCATAGCAACGCTCCTGGTTACAAGAGTAGAAGAGAAGTGAGCCAGAGGTGCGGCTTCTAAAATCTGCAGACAACAACTAACTGTTTATAAAAGACGTACATAGGAGTGTAATGTCTGGTTCAGAAGGTCAGGATGTTATTCTCAGAATTTCACAGATCAAAATCTGCCTGGCGAAAAGATCACCAAATGAGGGGTCAGAACGAGGTCAACAAACCAACCAAGGAGCGAGGATGAAGGACAACGCGGATGACGTCAGATCTACCATCATTTGCATATTCCAAAAACTGTATTAATTTGACTGGGTTGAGGAGTGAGGTGTTCTTCTTCTTTGCTCTGAAGGCAGGTCGAACGGTTTTGCTGTTTAGAATCAGGGCCTCAGATAGAGAAAGAACCCAGAGCTCTGGACTGCTTTTCTTCATCAAGGTTGTAATAAATATTTTAAAGGTTCTTCTGACTTCAACTCTTCCTCAGAAATGAACATGCAGGATGCTTAGGTCCTACAGCATGTAGCACTGCTTTTTGCAACGTAAAAGTTGAGTCAATCCACTGGGCTGTCAGACTAAGTAAAGACATTGGACACACGTCCGAGGTCCAGATGTCGGTCGTAAAACTAACTGGCAACGCTTTCCAAGCACTTTGAGTCTGAGTCGCACGCTTGCTTGTACTTGTTTGGTATCGCTGTTTCAGAGATGAAATGTCGAGAGGGCAGTACGTACCATGGCTCCGTGTGTTCCATTAAGCATCTAAACCCCACATTTTCCACAACAGAAATTGGTCATATAGCAAAATGAAGTCAGTCAATTTCTCTGTGATCATCTTTGCCTTGCTGGTCTCTGAAGCGAGCTTCTCGCGCCTCTGTAATGTTTCATGCAGCGATTGTTGAAGCGGCATGCTTTTCTTTTTAGCACTGGTTGTCTGTGCTTTATGATATGTCCGTTTAAGTTTAGCTAAACGTTGCTACATGGTATCGGATCGGACGGATTAAATTCTTTTATCCGATCCAAATAATTTTGCACAGTATCGGCCGATACGATGCTGAGTATTGGATCGGTACATCCCTGATTGAAACTCCACGAGGTGAGATCTTGCATGGAGCTCCAGACCGAGGGAGATTGGCAGTTGTTTCTTCCATTTGCGAACAATCGCACCAACTGTTGTCACCTTCTCACCCAGCTGCTTGGCGATGGTCTTGTAGCCCATTCCAGCATTGTGTAGGTCCACAATCTTGTCCCTGACATCCTTGGAAGACTCTTTGGTCTTGGCCATGGTGAAGAGTTTGGAATCTGGATTGATTGATTGCTTCTGTGGACAGGTCTCTTTTATACAGGTAACGAGCTGAGAGTGCTCCCAATGTCAGCTCGTTACCTGTATAAAATACACCTGGGAGATCTTGCTGACTGATAGGGGATCAAATAATTATTTCATTCATGAAAATGCAAATTAATGTACAACTTTTTTGTAAAGCATTTTTCCGGATTTTTTTGTTATTGTTGTCTCTCACTATTCAAATACACCTACCATTGAAATTGTAGACTGATCATTTCTTTGTTAGTGGTCAAACTTACAAAATCAGCGGGGGTTCAAATAATTTTTTTTTCGTGTGGGTGGGTGTGTGTGTGTGTGTGTGTGTGTGTGTGTGTGTGTGTGTGGATGCATACATACAGTTGTACATTATACAGTTATACACACGAATAATAAGTACTCCCTCAAAACAAAAGTGGTTTAATTTTTAACAGATGTCATTTTTCATTTTACATTTTCAAAGAATAAACAGCATACACACATGAATGCTACCAAAACAGAGGACATAAACGTGTCCCAATATGACTTCAGCAACTACAAATTATCATATCCTACACATCCTATACAAAAAATAAAGCAAAGTATTTCCCCAAGCTTAAAAGCATCTTGTCCACGAAATCTAAGCAGTTAAGTTGGTTCCCTTTTTGTGCAATAAAGTGTAGCGCCTATTCTTCATTTTGGCAAACCTGTCAATAGCTTGACCCTCACTCAGTTTACAAAGTTCTTCCTGCTCAACTGATAAGACAGCAAGATGGTGAAGCCTGTCTTGGCCCATTGTGCACCTCAGCCAAGTGTGGAGTCGTCTCAGTGCGCTGAATGACCATTCACAGCTACACACAGACCTGCAAGTCCATTAGCTATAGCTCATTTGTCTTACCTCCCTCAAACTTATCTCTCCTTTCTGCTTCCCTCTCTTTGCCTCGAAAAAAACAAGAATTTTCTGATATCCATCTACAGGAGGAATTAGGCATTGTTCAGATAGTGTAGCTAGCACCCATGGAAACTTTACTTTCACAGTGTTTTCATACATTATCTTACCAGCTTGTCGCGCGACGTATGCTGATTGGCATTTGAAATGTGCGTGCAGTCGGTATACATGGGCATGCCGCGCAGGAACATAGTTTCTGCAGCGTTATTGTTTTTATTGTTTCTTTTACGTGTGTCAATTGGTTTATCGACTGTCTTGCATTTAGTTTCTCTGAAGAGTGGTCTAATAAAAACCCTTACAAATATGGGAATGTATTTACTGGGGCACAGCTGATTTACACTGGGGCACGTGCCCCAGTACAAATGGTCTAGCGATGCCGACGTTTGATACTCTATTGTAATTAAAAAAGTCACTTTCGGCTTTTCCCGTTTAGGGGTCGCCACAGCGAATTGTCACACTGATGACTCGCATGTTGACATTTGGCACATGTTATACGCCAGACTTTCCTGACTTACCCCTGTTTCGACCCCGGGGGGCATTGGCAGGAGCGCTGCGCCTTATCCACTAGCCTACCGGGGACGGCTCTGATACTCTATACTACTACGACGACCACTACTACCACTACCACTACCACTACTACAGCAACAGCAACATTATGGTAGGTCCAGGCTCTGTTTAGTGTTGATTCCAGTACCAGAGAGCTAATTTATTCATTTATTTTCAATGCATCATTTCACAGCAGAGATGAGAGGAAACTGGGGAAAAGAGGCAGGGTGTCGCTGCAACATGAATCTTTAGACAGAGTCCATTTGATCTAGTGACAGCATGTTTTTGTGATTTCTTTTGTCACAGGCCTCTGGCCGACTTCTACGCTCCTGGGATTTCTGAAAATTTTGTAACTATCAACAGTTAACATTTAGCAAATGAGGCCTATTTGGTTTGTTAACTAATGGTGTTGTTTTGTTATATCTACCTTGCATTTCATTTATATCTACTTTTTAGTGGTTTTGACTTAGCTGCTATTGCATTCACTTAGGATTTTTATTAACTACCCAGTTTTATGTGTCAGGGTAATAAATATATATAATAGTAATAAATAAATATATTTATTCAAATCAACTTAAACTTTTAACTTACATTTACTCAATTCACGGGGTATATTTAGATTATTTTACAACTTTAATCGCTATTTTTAAGTGTAAAAATGTATTTCTAAAAAATAAAAATAAAAACTGAGTACATCAAACTTAGTTTTTAGAGTTTATTCTTTCCAAAGTGAGAGCTGCTGTGGACATTTATGCATGTGGCACAACAAGACTAACTTCATGAATTTTATAATTATTAACCTAGATACAGAGACAGGATTCGTCAGGATTAGCAACGGCCAATGTCGTTCCATACCTTTTCATCTGGAAAGTCAGGAATATTCTTTCTGATGTGGAAGGTTTTATTATTTTTATAGTTAGAATTTCAAAATCACACTATTTGCAGCAGTGAAATTATGGTGCACATGGACGCACCATGTGTTGTGCCTTGGTGGAGTTACATTCACTTTCTGAGGGCTCGTTTGGTATGCACTGTTTAATACAAATCGTACATTTGTGACCTTTTGGAGCCCCGTTTCACTGGGGATCTCAGGCAACTGCCAAATGATAAAGTCCACCTCTGCTTCTAAACTAGACTTGATTAATATGTTGCCAGTCTCCTGAACCCCCCACCCAGTTAATGGCTGAAGTAGATCTATATGACTTTGACTTTAATTGTTTCTCTCTTTTTCAGTCTCCATGTGTTCCTGTGGCATGCTGATGTCACAGTAACCACAGAGGAGGAGGGACAAGGAAGTAGAGCAGAGGGATGAAACTAAGCAGGAGCTCTCCGATGACGCAGAGCATGTTGAGTTAAAGGAGGGGCACTGAATCTTGCCCAGAGCTGGTTCCAGTCTGATCATTATGAGGGAGTGGAGCTTTTGCTATACACAGCGGAGGAAGATCAGTAGCAGAACACCCAGTTTGCTGAAGAGCCTGACAAAGAACTACACGACTTGACAGCAGGAGGAGGGAAAAGAGGAACGTGTGTGTGTGTGAGGCAACACGCACAATGACAACAAAGTGAAGGATGATAAGGAAGACAATTATATGAAGGGCGCTGCAGCATCCGAAGGTGAGAAGTCAAACTTGCGAGTGAAAGGAGCCAGAGATGAAATAAACTACTCTTCGGTCAGAAAAAGAACTTGAGACAGATAAAGATAGGAATTTACAGCTCCAGGAGAGCAGAAGATTAGAGGATAAGGGCTTTCAGTGTTCAGACAGAAATAAGACATTCACAATGTTCATGAACTTCCGTCGTATCCACAAGTGCCAGTGCGTGCAGTTGCTAACTACAGGCCTGTTGCTATGTGTGGTGATGGTCTGGTGGGAGGAGCTGGACCACCACATGACCCATGTGAAATCCTTCATGTACCGCTACTTGATTAACAGCTTTGTCTTTCTCAGCTCTTCCTTGATGATTACCTCCAGCCATCACCACGGTAAGGATGCATCTAACAGTGTGAATGGTGCGATAGGGAACTATCCATACCTCATTAACCACCCAAATAAATGTGGAGGTGGTGGTGAAGATGGAGAAACCTGGGATGATGTCCTCCTGCTTCTGTTTGTGAAATCATCACCAGAGAATGTTAAGCAGCGTCAGACCATCAGGGACACATGGGGAAATGAGAGCTTTGTTCGGTCAAAACTGGGGGTGAGCATAAAGGTGGTGTTTGTGCTCGGTATACACCCAGATGTCATGCGGAGATCCAGGATGCAGGCTGCACTGCTGCAAGAGGACCACGCCTATGGAGACCTGATCCAGCAGGACTTTGTGGACACCTTTTACAACCTGACTACCAAACTGATCCTGCAGTTCCACTGGGGCCATGAGTACTGTCCTCTGGCTCAATTCTTCATGTCTGCAGATGATGATGTCTTCATCCACATGCCCAATTTGGTGAGGTACTTGCAGCAGGTCACGAGTAGCCAATCAGGAGCTAAAGATATGTGGGTGGGGCATGTACACAGAGCATCCCCTCCAGTTCGCTATAAAAAAAGCAAGTACCATGTTCCTTATGATCTGTACCCCTGGCCTTCCTACCCAGACTACACAGCTGGAGCCGGGTATGTGGTTTCAGGCAATGTGGCTGCTAAGATCTACCATGCGACACTGATGCTGAACTCCTCCTTGTACATTGATGATGTCTTCATGGGAATTTGTGCAAACATCATGGGCATCTCTCCCCAGGAGCATGTATACTTTTCAGGAGGGGGCAAGGCTCCGTACCACCCCAGCATCTTCGATTACATGATCACATCGCATGGCCATGCCACAGACATGCACTCCTTTTGGCAGGCTGCAACAGACCCTACAGTGTCCCGTAGCTGTAAAGGATATATGGGTAACCTGTACTGCTCATTCGTGAGAGTGATGCTGCTGTGTCTGCCACGTTTCCAGAACACATACTCCTGTATGGCTGCTTTTACATAAATGGTTTTCAGATAATGCAAGGACTGCTGAATGCTATCACAATCAGTCTGCCATATTTGTCAGGTTATATTTCACTGTTTTGTTGACTAAATTATGCATTTGCTGTCTAATAATAAAGACCAGAGATGTTCTATTAAGCAAACACAGAGTTGCATTTAGTTAATTGTATTTCAACAGGATCAGTTTTCACTTAGTTTAAAGGATATATCCAGAATTTTACAGTAAAAGTCAGTCTTAAAACAGTATTGACACATCCATATATAAATAGGTCTTTCTCATTGTAACTAGTCCTACTCTCCACAATGACCCTGAAGTATTTCATCCACAATGCAACTACTATACATACTACAAGAAATGGGGGGGATAAAATGCACAGCCCTTGTTCTGTGCACAGATACATTCCAAAGTTTAGCTGAGGCTCATATGAAACTTCAGCATTCCCAATAAGATAAACTGAGCTGGTAATAGACGCAGTCTATTTATCCTTTAAGCTGAAGGTCTAAACTAGCGGCGATGAAGGCCAACTGTTGCATTGTTTTTGTCTGGGCCATTGGTTTGCCATTTGGCATTTGAACAAACTACAGAGTACAGGCAATGACCAGCTAGTGCTAATGTTCGGTCTGTGTGAGGAAATAACTCTCTATACCAGCAGGTGGCGGTAGTCTGTAGTGAAAGACTTAGGACTGTGGATACATAAACTGTAAACAAAGCAGCTTTCACTTGCCACAGATGATTTATAGTTAGCATTAGTTATAGCTATAAAATGTGTGGTAGAATGAAGCATTTAGGTTGGGATCATTGGGCCAGTGCAGGGTCTGCTGTGGTTTTACCCAGAAGATTGACTGTGGCTCAGGAGGTAGATGTGAGTGGTTTCCTAACTGGAAGATTAGAGGTTCGATTCCCAGCTTGTCCAGTCAACATGTCAAAGTTTCCTTGAGCAAGACACTGAACCCCCAGTTGCTCCCAGTGATAACGTGTGAGTGTGAATGGCCAAATAGTGTGAAAGCGCTTTCAGTGTGTTGTAAAGCATAGAGAAGCGCTATACAAGTATAAGACCATTTACCAAGATTTTGGCTGTAGTACTGTGGTGGCTACAGGAAGCTACAGTGGTGGGAATTATTGCCTGGCACATGGTTTGGTGTGATATGGTTTGTGACACTCGTATGTATACTGTATGTCTTTTTGATGTTCTGTTTCAATATAAGTGCAAAGGGGTTGACATACCTTTGCTCCCAAGCGGAGTGTTTGTTCTGGAGAGAAAAGTAGCTGTACATACATTCAGCATGACCTGTGCAATATGACCTCACATCTTACAACCCCGAGCATGACACAGACCTGCTGCCTTTTCAGTATAGTTTTGTTACAGCACAGCAAAGAACTGCATACACACTCAGCTCCAGTGTTGTAGTGAACCACAGCTGTGTGTTCTGTCCTTACCTGCGTCTGTTGGACAAACTCTCCTCTGTCTCGTTGTTCACAACAACATGGGTAGAGCCTCCTTGGCTTTCCTCATGCATCACCTCAATCTGTGACACACAAACACACATATACATTTAATTATTATGGCAGGATAGAACTGTTTAGTGATGCATTCAGGCAATCCCTGACAGCTTGTCAGAAAATCTAAAGATATCCATGTGTTTGCCAAGTGTTTGCATTCAGGTGGTCATCAGTCACTGGTAAAGATTTAACTGGATCAATAGTAAAGCCACTGAAGAATGCATGGATTACAAGTTGCTTTTTTTGTGCTGTGTCTACCACGTTCATCCAGTTGGTTTCTGAGAGGCTATGAGCTAAGCAGTGTGATGACACTATGGCTTTTGATCTGTGACACAGCTTTAGTGATGTGATGAGGTGGAGTTCCTGAAGAGATTCTGAGATTTGTTAAAGGTATTAATACAAATTAATGTTAATGTATTTTTGCTGCTGTTGCTTTTTTGTCTGTGGAAAAAGGTTACTGTGTTAGGCATAAACCACTATTGACACTACGGGCTCTATTTTCCTGCCACTGCAATTTCTATGCTGCTTTAAACGCAGTCCTTATACAATTTTCCTCCGGTTCATGCCGGTGGGGGTGAAATCTTCTCATAACTAGCCACAAATGTGTGTTTGAGCTAAAACCCTAAAAGATCTTTTCAGGTTGATGTACAAACATTACCTATTGCAGCTTTGAATGTACTTACTGTAGCTCATGTTTCTGGCCTATAGTTAAATGTGAGCTTTGATTTGGTAAAGGGAAAAAAAACCCTCCTGCATTAATTTTACTTGTTGCAAAAACTGCCAGCTTAAACTTTTACTTCAGCACCGGTTTTTAAAGCAAAGAGCCTGATGCAACTAAAAACAGGAAGGAGAATACTAAGACTACTATATTACTACTTCTACTAGAAAGTACTAAGCTTTGGATTTGGGCAGTGTTCACACAGAAGAGAGAAAGTGAAATATGGCACATGATAGGTGGATTTCCAGTTCTATCTGCCCTCATCAATTATGGAGGAAGGTTTATGATCCAACAACAACACAGGCCCTGTTTGTCAGCAGAACAAAATAACCTCGGGGTGGGCATCTAAATTATGTAGACAGTAAACCAATTAACGAGATCAGAGTAAAACTGCAGCATGGCAGCAAAGAGCAGTAGGTTGGCATACTGATTAGTGAAACCCTCCTTTTGAAACCGCAGTCACCCCTGCTGACAAAACACTGAATCCCCACAGGCACCAAGAAACACCTCATGGCAACATTGCCAGTGATTTTGTATTAGACTGTAGAAGTGAAAAAATACACACTCAGATTCTGCTCGGACTCACCAAGGCAGGACAGAGAATTTTCAGAACTGTAAGATGCATGTGTGAGGCATGGCTTTGTGACTGAGGAGTATGACAATGCAGGGGGTGTGAGGTAGGATATTGGCTGTCACAGCTCAGTGTAAGCAGCATGTCAAAGCTAACCAGCCATGACCAGCTGCTGTCAGCGGTGCTTTGTTTAGAAGCACATTTACACTGTGTCCTTTAAAGAGTCACTGTGTGGGGACTTGAGCTATAATTGGACTCTCCATAGTTGTAACTTTGGTATTTAGTGTTAAACCTGCAGTAAGTGGATAGATCTACAATAGTGCATGTGAACTTGCACTGATGCTGTTTTAAAGTTTTTGTTGCCTGAACAGAAAACACTCTGCTGACAGTTATTGGCTGTGATGGGGATACTCTAGGTACTAAATTTTTTACTTGCCTAAAATATCATCACTATACGGTAGCTCCACTCCAGGTAAGTTACATTACACTTACACCTGATTCAGATGGACGCAGTGACTTCAGGGCTCTAAACGGAGAGAGAGAGTGCGTGTGTGGGTGATCAAAACAGAGCAAGCAGACTGACGGATTTTGGGATGAAACTAAAATGTGACTTGTATCTGGTCAGTTCTTTCATTCTGTGTAATTACCAGGTTTATCAGGGAAGCATTTGAAAGGACACTACATCCTGGAGTTTCTGCTGGCACTGAGAGGCAGAGTGATGGCTGTCTCATATGAACTGGTCCAACATCAGCTGAAGGTGGTGTTAGCATTACATTTTTAAGAAATGCATTTGTTATGATTCAGCTTCATTTCCTGTTCCGAGAGGTTTTATTTTGTTAGACTTCCTGCCCTGTGTCACCTCACTCTGACCTTAGACAAGAAATATGAGTCAACTCAAACAAACCACAAGACATTTGGTCTTATCTGATTCTCTCCCAGGGGAACTCAAGCACCAGGACCATGTATTCTCATTATCTAACATCTTCATCTCCACAGGACACTGGAATGTGGAGTTGAGACTCCTCTCTGCTCGTTACACCATAAAACTGGCTTAGTATTTCTCTCTTTGTGATTTCTCCATGTGATTTACATGTTACATGTTGAAATACTCTTCTGAAAAACAGGACTAGGTATTCATATTCTGTACATTCTGCCAGTTATACTTGCCATATATCCTTTCATATTTATAATAGTTCTGTTCATATTTTTTCTATTTTTTGCACAGTAATCAAACGGAACGGAGTAAGCAGTGAAAAGAATAGTGTTATCAATCATTTTTAAAGCTACACATCCATAACAAAGGCCAGAGGTATGAAAGAGAAGTACTGGTTTCAGATCAGAAGTATCGGGATTGGTACTGGTGTCAGTAACTGTAGAACAACACTCTGCTTTAGTGTCATAATCAGCTGCTCTTTGAAATTTGATGAACAGGATTGGAGGAGGGTACCTTTATGCCTCCCTTGGCCTTGCGTATGTTCTTCCTCTTGTTGGGATCCACTTCAGGTGGTTGCTTGCCACTGTTAAAGTTATCAGAAGTCCTGCAAGCTGCAGCTGAAATGAATTAAAGCATTAATAACAGTAACTAATGCAATAATTTCTCTAACCAGATTTTGTGTTACATGTATGAAGTTGTTATTATTATGGTTCACAGCTTGTACAGTGCTATAAAAGTTTGCAGCCTAGGGCATCATTCATGTCACAGTTAGAACCTGTTACACCAGGCTCATTATCTGATTTGTACCCAAGTTAGTGTAAACAGCATCCAACTCACGCTGCTGGCCCCCGGTTGTCCTGGAGTGGTTCTTCAGTGGGGGTCGTTTGGGAGACGACTCGGGTCGTGGGGCAACAGGCTGGACAGGTCTCATCTGTTTAGCTGACAGTCTCTTCAGACTGACATGCCGCTTCTCAAACATCTCCTGCACATCCTCCAGTCGCTTCAGTGCCTTCAGGACACTAGCCTACAGGCAGGGAGCACACCAGCAACCCTCACCCTCAATTTTGCAACAGAATATCCAGTTATTGTGTAAACTAATGTTTATGTGCATCCTACCTTGATGTCCTCGGACAGAACAATCTCATACTGGTTGTGGAGGCTCCTCAGTTCAGTCACTTGGTTCTTTTCTGCTGACTCCAGAAATTGTTCAATGTCGGCCAACGCTGACTCTGCCCCTTCCTGTGACTGACACTTATCCACAGCCTGGGAGGCCAGCAAGTAGATGCCAGACTCACACCACTGGTTCACCTGTACACAGCAGAAATGCAAACAGGTTAAAACTGGGCAAGAAATGAAAGTAGCTAACATCATCAGTTTACATGTGGTGGGTCAGTGTGAGGGTGTCACTAGAGTCAGTTG